CTGGCTGGGGAATTCTGGGAGTTGAAGTCCACTCATCTTAAAGTGGCCAAGTTTGGACAACACTGATGTATGGGGACAGTTGATGCTAAAGCACAAGACATATTCTGCACTAACAGTTGCCTCTCAGCACCTTATAATTCAAGGGAACTAGATTGTACATTCTGGATTACATCTGTGGCACCATAGTATTTTGTCATTGTCTGGTGCTATCCTGGGAAGGGCTTTTTTTAGGTGACTACAACAATGCTCCAGATGGTAAAGGCAGTAGCTTTTTTGTGACAAAGAAGCAGACTTTTTAAAAGGCAGGACTAATTAAAATATTAAAATTAACTATAAGCAGAAATACTATCTATAATAAAAAATTAAGAGACTAGGGTGCGCAAAACATTTTGCCTTGAAGCATTTCAAGCATTAATTTAATGAAATGTCCTCCCTCAAGTTTTGAAACTACTGTTTCAATTGTGAAACAGAGTTGTCCTGAATAGTGTTTGGCTCTGGAACAGAGTTTCAGAACATCTGTATTTCAAGCTTGAAACATATCTCCAATGCTTGAAAACCACCTGTTTTGCACCCAAAACCCCAGCTTTGAACTTAAGACTGGCCATTTAATGAAATTTCGCATTTGAATCATTTTGAAGCAAAATGTTCAGTGCACTCCCAGGCAACCATAGATATATATAAAATTTCATGATATGGAAAATGTAGATAAAAATATTTTTTGTTTAGACTTTTTTATCCCACCTTTATTATTTTTATATATAACTCAAGGCAGTGAACTACCTAATACTACTTCCTCCTCCTATTTTCCCCACAACAACAACCCTGTGAGGTGAGTTGGGCTGAGAGAGAGTGACTGGCCCAAAGTCACCCAAGCAGCTTTCGAGCCTAAGGCAAGACTAGAACTCAAGAGTCTCCTGCTTTCTAGCCTGATGCCTTAACCACTAGACCAAACTGGCTCTCCTTTTCTCACAATGACAGAACTCAGGATTCAGGACTGATAAAAGGAAGTAGTTCGTTGTAGTTCGTTGTGAAGTGCCTCAGGGCTCTATGCTCTCACCCCTCCTATTTAACATCTACATGAGGCTGCTGAGTCAGGCCATCTGCTGATTCAGGGTCAGGCATCATGAATTTGCTGATGATACTCAATTACACATCTTGTCCCTGGGCCAGCCAAGTGATGCTGTTGACATTACGTCCTAGTGCCTAGAGAATGTGTGATTTTGATTCAAGAGGAACAAGCTCAGGTTCAACCCTAGCAAGACTAAGTGTTATTTGGCCCCACAGTGTAGAGGATCTTCTATCTTTTGCCAAAATGGGGCTGCACTACCCTGTCTGGGTCTGGTATGTAATTTGGGGGTCCTTCTGGACTCACAGCTCCTGCTTGAAGAGCAGGTGGCAGATGTGGCCAGGAGGGCCTTCACATAGGTTCATCTTGGGCACCAGTTGCACCTTTTCTTGGACCAGGAAGCCCTCCTTATGGTCAACCATACCCTGGTCACCTCATAGATGGATTACTGCAATGTGCTCTACATGGGACTATACCTGAAGACTATTTGGAAGCTATAGCTGGTCCTGAATGCAGTGGCACAAGTAGTGATGGGCAGGCTATGCCATGCCCATATAACACCCATGCTTTGTGAACTGCACTGGCTATCACTTGGCTTCCAGGTGCAATGTAAGATGCTGGTTGTCACCTTTAAAGCCCTACATGGCATCGGGGCCAGTTATCTGAGGAATTGTCTGTCTCCTATGACAGTTGGCTCATTCCTGGTTCTGCCAGTTAAACAAAGTCATCTAGCAGGACTCAGGAAGTGAGCCTTCTTTGTCATGGCACCTGCCCTCTGGAACAGCATCTCCCAAGAGATGTGCACGAACCCTACCTTAGCAACTTTTAAAAGAACATTAAAAACATGACACTTCCCTCAGGCATTAGGTTAGGGTGACTGAGGGGCTTTTTTGTCGGTTTCCATCTCTTCTGGGGCAGGGGGTTTTATCTCTGCTGTTCCCTCCAGATGACACTATCTTTTGGGTTTTATTTTTTCTTTTATGTCCAGATATGTTAAGCCACCTAGAGTCATTATAATTGGTCAGCCTAGAAATTTGCCTAATAAATTCTAGAAAGTACTACCATAAGATGGGATGGTCACTGGCTGCCAGGCAGCAACAGTGGAATGTATTTGTTTTATTTATAAGCTGCTTAGATTCACCTGATTGAAATACACTTATATGATCCATTAGGGTTCTTTTTAGGCTCTTCAGTTGTACTACACTTTCCCTTCTACCACCCAAATACTACCAAAACACAGTCCAATTACAAGGATGGTTCTCTACTATAATTTCAAGAAGACTGATGTTTACCACTCACAGGAGTGATCAGAAACTTTCTTCAGTGATCAGAATGGTGGACGTGGGAACAAAGTGAGGAAAAGGCCAGCTATCTTTCTCAGTCTGAGCTATACATATATAGCTTCAGCCTAACTGGCATGTCTTTTTCATCTTGTAGAGACAAGGTGAATCTGTTATCCCCAGCACTCACCTTCATCACTGGAAGACTTATCTGACTGCTCATCTGCAGGACATTTTCAGCATAGTCGGTCAAAGTCATATGTGAGTCACCTCCAGTCGTACCCAGGAATCTTAAAATAATTTCAGTGACAGACAGTGCCTCACAGATGTCACTGTAGGACACCAACTCCCCTCTGATCATGCCCATTTTAGAATCTGAAAGGGAGCTCTGTAATTTAAGGAGATAAGATCAATCAGCATGCAACCCTGTTGCATTTTGCTATAAAGAAAAGGCACTTAGGCCATCTGGCATCTCTTCAGGGCATGCAAGCAATGTAAAAATGCACACATATTCAGACATGCTCAATCTCTACACCAAGTTTTTTCTACAAAGTAACAGCTAAGACTGCCAGGGATCTGTAACATTGGACCGATCACATTACTTCAACTGAAGAGTAAACACACACCTTCCTGTAAGCAACTTGTATTGAACAGCCCATGACTTACAATCAAGTAAATACATGCAAGATGAGACCCAAACAAGAAAGATGCAAGATTTTCTTGTCTTTTCCTCTTTTCAGAAACTCACCTGATCCAGCTTTCTCTTGATATTGCTGAAGACTTGCTCATAATTTTGGTCATATCTATATACCAGAGTGGGTATCCCCTATTAAGAAAAAGGACAAAACATATGCTTGGTGAGCAGATCTTTGCAACAGTTTCTTCTGGACTAACAGTTTGATCTCACAGCCTTCAGAATACTAACTAGTAGCATCAAGTTTCTGTGGTGCATACCTAGAGCGACCATAAGTCCTTTATTATAAAGGACAATCCTTTACTTCATATAGCTATCCTTTAGATGTATTTAATACTTATTTTCTTGGTTTTGCTCCTGAATTTTCCTTTGTAAAGCAAAGTTATAATTTATAAACATTTTTTTTATCCTTATGAAACTCTTTCAGATTTGCTCCTTTTTCAGGTTTATTCTTTATTTTTTCAAAAAAATTATGGCCACCGTGCGCATACCTGCAATGTGATCTTTGGCTTCCCTTGCAGGAATCTACTGATGACTTGCTGCTGGATTTTTTCCAGGTCAAATTCCTGCAGGGCCTCTCCTCCTTTCTCCATGCTATACTGGCAGTTGGACAGAATGAGTGGGATCAAATCCTTTTCTACTTCATAACTGATCATATGCAGATCAGCCACTTCAGCAGGACTGACAGAATATCTGTTGAGAAGTAACAAGAAAAAGGAAGAGAAAACCAGTTATGCTGTTTATTCAGCAGTATCTGTCAGCTGCAGGAAGAACTGAGAACTGCATACCTATTGCCATCTGCTGAATAATCTATTATGGTGTTGACGAAATCATTGTGCAACTGAACAAGGTAGCTGACCAAGGATGTGGCACACAGGCCTAGACCTCTCCGGCGAGGCAGAAGGATTTCAAAAGTGTCTTTTACAGTGCGGTCCATACTGCAATAATCTTTAGGAAGCTTAATTTCACCTGCAGGGAGAAGAAAATATTTGGAAGCCAGAGTGTCTTACTGCTGGACACTCCCCTTTAGCTTTGGATCATTTCTGGCTGATATAATCATTTATTGCCATCATAGTCATACAAATGATGCACTATAAAGAAAGAAAATACTGGAAGAAAAATAGTCTGCAAGTTCTATCAAATGGCCCACTAGATGTTGCTGAAGTACAATTCCATCAGGGGCCCCCCAACTGCATGGCCAATGATGAAGGATACCCGGAGGTCAGCAACTTCTAGAAAGCCACAGCTTCTTGCTCTATGGGCTAGAATAGGGGAATAGGCCAGCTAAGGATAAATAAAACATGACCTTTTCCTTTCGGTGGTATCAAGGGACTCCTTAATGTTGCCATTTTGTTTGACTGATAAAGTAAGCTGGAGTCTCACCATTTGTTTCTATGGATGATCTGAGCTTGTTCCACACATCCAGAAATTTTTCCACTCTGACTCTCATCAGTGACCTGACACCTCCTAGAGAATGCAAGAAACAAATAGTATGTAACAGGTGGAACATAGTCAAAGTTTGTTGCTTTCTGGTTCGAAAAATGGGAAATTAAAAGCAACTCTGCTAGAGCAGACTAAGATCTATCCAGCACAAAATACCATACCATTTCTTATGGTTACCAATCACACTTACTATTTCATCCCTGACAACCCAATGACCCCAGTAGCTCTGGGGCGTCTAATTCAAAGGTTTCATTTAGTTAATACTGTATACCTACTATTCAAAAGGTGACCTATCATCTGTGAAGATGCCTAACCATCACATCTGGCTGAAGTGAAATCCAATAGTTCATTACCCCTGGGCCTGATCTATATTCCACTAGGAGCAGAGATTGATGTACCTGGTTCCCACACTGAATGAGAATTTTCAAAATATTAGTTTAGTGTGACTTAAGTTGCATCTGTCCTGATAATGTAATATCACAGAAGGAGGAAATGAAGAGAAGTAAAATTTAAATTATTTGTGCCAGTAATCAATTTGATCAAAAATATGGGGCATGATATGGCCCAGAGGCCAGATTGTTCCCTTCATAAAACCCCCAGCAGGCCAGTTGGGATCAGCAGGGAGGTTTCTGGCAGGGGAAGCCCTTTTTCTGAACCCACTTCCTCGATGCCCTCAGGAGCTGCCTTCCATTTAGAAGGAAGAAGGGAATGATCACATCTGTATCAAAGCACCCTTCTTTTCCATACAGGGGGAAGCTGAGAGCAATTGGTCTTTTTGCATCTAGAAAAAAGAGGGAGTGATTGATCACATCTCCCCCACCCCTCCTCGTTTAGGCTTGCAGTACTTGCCAAGCATAGACTTTGCACAAATTAATAATCTCCAATCAGCTGAGCACTCCCCCCCCCCAAATGTGCTTGGTATTAAGCAAATGCTTTAATGCTCTTATGCTTTGCTATCTAGTCAGAGAGCAAGGGAGAATCTCACCTGAGGAAAAATTGCTGAGAAAATCTTCAATCGTGCAATGCTCCATTTCTGAGACATTCTGAAATCTCTTCACTAAGTCTTTCTGCAGAGCAAGAATTTCTGGCAGAAATTTCACCTGTCTCAATTCAGCTTCCTAAAAACAGAGCAGAAAAGGTCAAATCAGAAAGGAAAGGCTGAGTCTTTAGGAATTAACACAAGTAAACTGTCAAGAAAGAATGCAATACACACACACATATATATGCACACACATACGCAAACACACACATATATACATAAAACCTGGTTCTCTCAAAGGTGGGGCAGTATTGGGGGCATTTGCTGTTGGCTTTGCACATGGATAAGGCTGTATCAATATTAACAGATAAGCTATAAATCAACATTAATAGATGTTCACTTTTTGTTCTGAAAAATCCTCCAACTTGTTCATGAACCTGGGAAGGTGGTATTGTTAACAGTTACCCAATTATAAACAATTTAGAAAGGTGTGTAGTAGTAAGTAGCTACAGCATCATCAACAAATGTAACACTTCAGAAATGAACTTGCTCACTCTTACACTTCATTAAAGCAAATACCAAAGCAATACTTGCTTTTAAACTGGAAGTTCTTCTTAGCCAGAAGAAGACGCACACTGTCCTTCAATGTGGTTGAGAACAAGTGGTTACAGAAGCTTTCTGAACTCTGCATGGGTTTGGACACCACTGAGATGGGTACTGGAGTATGTGCAATGTTTGTGAATAGATCTAATGCTGAGGCAGAGTTATTTTTGTACTGATACTACCTTAATGTACAAATATTATTATTTCTTATACGGATGTTGGCAGAGAGTAGAATACCATGGCGCTACTCCATGAAACAAACAGTATGCTTCCACCCACGTAATTCAATTGCTAAGAACGTTCACATATTAAAAATAATTACAGTGGTACCTTGGTTTACGAACTTAATTCATTCCGTGACTCTGGTTGCAACCCGAATTGGTCGCAACCCGAAGTGCGGCTGGAGCAGACAGACACACAGC